TAATTATTATTCATATAAATTATTAATTTATTATCTAAAATTTATATATAAAATATACAAAATAAATTAAATATAATAATAATAAATAAAATATTATTTTAAGATACAAAAAAGTACTAATAAGTTAGCATTATATTATTGTTTATTATATTTTGTTTCGACGATCAGGGTGTATATCTTCAAACTAAAAGGCTACTTGACTGCTACGGGTTTGACCAAATCCAGCTCTTCATCCCACCCGTGGGTCAAAAAAAAACATGGGTCAAAAAAAACAAAGGGGCAAGACATTTCTTGGTTTTGATTCGCTTAGCGAATGAGTCAAATATTGCACCTGCAGTATTTTTTTTTTTTTTTGAAAGGTAAAAAAAAGATTTTATTTTTTTAGTACAAATGATAATTGAACCCATTTAAAATATTGCACCTGCAGTTAGCCCAAATAGTTATGTAGGGTGCATTCAAGGGGACAGAACAGAACCTGTATTGAGTTCCAAATGCCCCCGGACACCAAAATTCATAGAAAAAAAAAAATCAAATATTACTATAAAATAAAATGTTGAAAATCTTTTAGAATATCTAAGTAGGAAAATGAAGAAAAGTCCAATTACTCATGCGAAGTTTCTAAGTAAAACAATAACTGGTCAACGGGTCGCGATAAATAATTAATGGTTTCCCACAGTATTAAATTTATAAATTGTATTTTTTTTATATAATTTAAATATTAAAATTATTAAAATACTTTTAATAAAATTTTTATATTATTTATTAATAATACTTTAATAATTTTAATATTTAAACTCCATAAAAAAAATACAATTCATAATAAAAGCACACTTTTCTTTTATTTTTATATTTTTTTTAATACATTAATTAAACTTAAAACTCTAATTATCTCTTATTTTTATATATGGGTAACTAATTATAGAACCCTGGACCGTAACATTTGAAATAGACTCGAGACGGCTGGTAAGCACATGGAATTTGCTTTACCAAAGGATAACAAGAAAAGGCCCATCCTCTATGAATGAGTAGTAAACCAAAAAATAAGTTAAAAAAAAAAAAAAAA